CCGCCATGATAGCGCCCATTGGTTTTGACAGGGGCGTCCCCGTCCATTTGAGATTTTTTTTTGGAATTAGTAGACGTCTATACGCGTTTAGATGACATCTGAAAAGTTAGGCTTAAAAAAGTGTTTTACCAGGGTAGCCTACTACAAGTAACATCTATACATGGGAATTAGCACACACACGAGTTGCCACCGAAGGAGATGTCTAGCCACCCTATTCACCCCCCCCCCCCCCCCTCCGCCACCCATTTTACGCCGCCCATTTTAGGCGTAAATTCAAAAATTCAAATAATGTGGACCCGTTATTTAAAGTGAAGCATTTACGCATAAATATGAAAAATCTGGACTCATTTTTCAAAATGTGCATAAAACCACCAGATTTAGACCCCATTCTTTGTGTAAATAATGTGGACCAATCATTAGGCTTGTTATACATGTGTATAATGCTTTACATATTTAATATAAAATACCCTGATTACTCGAATTGGACTGATTGCTAGCACTAAAACCGAGGATGTGACCTAGGAACAGAAAAGGTTAGATGTATAAACTATATACAATATATATGGCGTTGAAACGTAACCATCACATGGATTGTATAATCTTGTATTCACCAAAAATCATTATCAGGCCTAAAGTTTCTTTTCCAAATACGTATAGTGTTCTACAGTCTACATGCCTTGTCATAATGTTTCGCGTCATAATGTTTCGTTTCAACGCCTGTTACACAATTTCAAGAACACGTGAATTCACAATGAAACTACATATACGATTACATTTACGATGTGCTATTATGATATATAATTTTTGAAATATATTTATAAACAGATACATAATAATAGGAAAATTATAGACATATATTTTTTATTGAATTTTAATTGAATATAATATTTAAATTAGGTTTAGGTTTGTTGCATAGCACCGTAAAACAATTTAAACAAATACTGTATGGCAGTTACATAATCGTAACAGTGTGAGCGTTTCATTTAGTCGTTGTATGAAATTGCCTGGAGGTTATTTCCTGGGGATTAAATGCGTTGTCTGTGGTCTAATGGCACAGAAGTTAAACCCAGGATCCGGAAATTGGAAGGCAAGCATCTTCAACACCAAGTTACACCTCACTTATAGGCCTACTTCATCAGTGAACCTACTGGTTTTTATTCAAAATTTGCCTTTTATCTTGAACCTTGATGGCCTCCTGTATTCCGTAACCCACCTCTAATAGTAGGCCTACCTACCCTAGAAGTTAACATACAATAATAACCCACTACTCTAATAACAACCCATAGGGTTTCTATTATGGTCGCCAAACTATAGACAAAATTACATTCAAATATAAACATTTTTATTGCTTTAAAGCACAATTTTTTCCTTATAGGCAATTCTTCAAAATTTGATTGGGCCGTTGATGATCCTTGCTTGAATTTACTCCTTGGTTCCAGAATGCAGAGCAAATCCAATAATAAAAATAAGAATAGGCCTATTTCAGTAGATTGTTAATCGATATTTTTTCCGACTTTCCTTCGGCTACATAATATAACTACAAAACGACCAGGCAACCATGAGTCCACTTCGTGGACACTTTCCCCATTACTTCCACTTTTATAAAAGCATCTGACAGTTTTAAAAATTTTGCTTGTTTTAGTACTGATTTTTTTTAAATATTTCACTTTAGATTTATCTATTTAAGCAAAATGTTATTAAGGATTTCTTTTTTTTTTTTTTTCTGCAAAGGGTCCCACTCGACATTAATTAAGTTTACTTTTGGGGAGCTCCTGTCTTATGTTCTTTTGTGCTTATTCCTTGTTGTTTCTGTTTTTGTAAATTTTAATGTTTTTGAGACAAATAAATAAAATGAAATTGGCCAGCTAATAATGCCTGCTTATAATCTCTTCCATACACACCGGCGGAATTCTTGTCATACAAAAGTGCTGTAAACATAATGCTTTCATTTTTTTTTTTTTTTTTTTTTTGTTGTAAAACAAATTGTTTTTTTTTTTTGAGTGAAAGACAATTTGCATCTCAGAGCCACGTTGTCAGATGTGTTCAGGGTCCATGTATATACCATGCTTTGAGGACGATAATACTAGTAGCATGTCACACCAGCCAATCAGTAGCATTATTTAAATGTTCACAGGTGGGTGGTACTATGCACAGTATAAATTCAGTCCACCAACGCATGACTAGGCCTTTCCATCGCTTGTATTCCAGAGAACCGTTTGGCTTTCACTTAGTGTATTATTTTTATTATTATTATTGGATTTGCTCTGCTTTGAATTGTAAGTTTAGACTAATTATTTGCCTTCGTAATTCTCAAATTACCAGCAGAGCAACATTTGGTAAAAGGGGTGTGATGGGCGCACATGCCCCAAATCGAAGTCTGAGTAGATTGCTTCTTATCTGCCAATAAAAACCAAATCCCTTTTGTATATAGTAAGTTAAAAAGTAAGCATTCATCGAACTCAATTTCTGAATTAAAATGGAATTCATATACTGCATTCCCTGTTAATTTTGATATTTTGTTTGCTTATAAAATACATTTGAATGTACCTTTTATGATTCAAAATTTGGAAACAAATGAAATGGTTTAGATATTTCACCTGTATGCACCTTTTGTAAGTAGAGCAATACAATAGTTCTATGCATGGGATGGTAGAAAAATTGTATGTAAAAACATTGCTCAATACTGACGTCCTAAATAATTGGTCATGTTATTTGACTTGAAAGAGTACAAGCATTCAGATGTTGTTAAACCTTATATTACTCATTACTAAATAATGAGTAATGAGTACTTGCTATGCTTGCAAATTTACTTGTTAAACTGAAATGAGATTTTTTTAAAGGAATGACTTTCTTCATTATATTTTATTTTTTTAAATTTATTTTATATTATACTGTTTTTATAATGCTAATGTTTGAAAGGTTTTGTCTGTGTAATGTCATGGTTTTTGAAGTCAAGCCATATGGGCATAGAAAAATCCTTTGTACAAAAGCATCTTCGACTTGATAAACATTTATTTATTTAAACAGATCAAATCCAATGATGCGTCTTATAGGCATAGTGCTATCAGTGGCTGTTGTAGCTACCGTTGCAAATCCTGTAATACTGATGTTGGACGATGAATGGGCCACGTGGAAATCAACGCATAACAAAGTGTATGAGCATAGAGAAGAACAAGTTCGGCATTTAATTTGGGAAGAAAATTTTCGAAGTGTTGCCAAACACAACCTTGAATATTCTATGGGCCAACGCTCATTTACACTAGGCATGAACAAATTTGCAGATATGGTAAGCCATCCATATAGCCAGCCAGGCATTTAGAAGCAATCGTTTGCTGATTAAAAACCCTAAACGAATGGACTTAGATATTTCTACTAAATTTTATATAGACAATTGACAGAGTAAAGGCATGGTTGGAAGTACCACTTGATGTCAACTTTAAATAATTAACATGAATAACAATATTTTAATATTTCGATGCGAGTTTGCGTCAGGAATAGGTATATCATGGAGTGACGTTTTGCCCACCTGAAGCGTGATCGTTCTGAGCATTCGGTACGATAACGTCGCCAAGTAATATGACTATATACAGCTCGGAATCTATTCCTATGTCGCTGTTAGGGAAGCCGCACCGAACTGAATAGGTATTTAATTTCTTGTATTTTTCACTTACAGAATAACACGGAACTTGTTCCGATATTAAGCAATTTTAAAAAAAGTAATAAGACGCGTGCTTCGTCTTTCGTGCCAGCAAGCTTTATAGAAGTTCCGGATAAAGTAGACTGGAGAGATCATGGTTGCGTCACTCCTGTCAAAAACCAGGTAACAAAACGTAACGCGACTATTTGATTCGTATATTTAATTTTTTTTAAAAATAGAAACACAAATCATAATTGCATACCGTGCATGTGTAAACTAAAATTGTTATTTACGGACAATGATTTATCAGGGTATGTGTCACTCCTCCTGGGCGTTCAGTGCCACTGGAGCTCTCGAGAGTCAAGCATTTAGGAAAACTGGAAAGCTTCCCATTCTCAGCGTGCAGAACCTGAGTGCTCACAATATAAAGGAAATCACGGATGCCAGGGAGGTACAGCAGATCAAGCCTTCGAGTATGTGATAGATAATGGAATCGACTCTGATAAATGCTATCCACACGCAGCTTGGGTAAGAATTAAAATTATCAAAATATGTCGCTCCACCACTAATTCATA